AGCATTTTTCTTCTTCTCCATCACCAAATTTTAGTTTACTTCTTCACCAAGAAACTAAGTTAAAAGACTATTAATTAGTGACTCATATTCCATATACATTGTAATAACTCAAATTATATAATGAGGCCCGATAGTATATTTATTCACCATGTTCATATTGTATTATGGTATAATAGATGTAAAATATTTCAATATTTTTCTTCTTCTCCATCACCAAATTTTAGGTTACTTCATCACTAAGAAACTAAATTAAAAGACTATTACTTAATGACACATATTCCATATACATTTGAAATAATTCAAATTATCTAATGAGTCTCGATAGTATATTTAATTAACATATTCATATTGTATTATGGTATAATAGATGTAACAATTTAATTATTTTCTTCTTCTCATCACCAAATTTTAAGTTACTTCATCACCAAGAAACTAAGTTAAAAGACTATTAATTGATGACACATATTCCATGTACATTGGTTATAATTCAAATTATATAATGAGGCCCGATAGTATATTTATTCACCATATTCATATTGTATTATGGTATAATAGATTTAAACAATTTAATATTTTTCTTCTTCTCCATCACCAAATTTTAGGTTACTTCATCACCAAGAAACTAAGTTAAAAGACTATTAATTAATGACACATATTCCATATACATTGGTAATAATTAAATTTATATAATGAGTCTCTATAGTATATTTATTCACCATATTCATATAGTATTATGGTATAATGTATGTAAACAATTTTCAATATTTTTCTTCTTCTTCATCACCAAATTTTAGTTTACTTCTTCACCAAGAACTACGTTTAAAAGACTATTAATTAATGACACATATTTCATATACATTGGTTATAATTCAAATTATATAATTAGGCCCAATAGTATATTTATTCACCATATTCATATTGTATTATGGTATAATAGATGTAAACAATTTCAATATTTTTCTTCTTTTTCATCACCAAATTTTAGGTTATTTCTTCACCAAGAAACTAAGTTAAAAGACTATTTATTAATGACACATATTTCACATACATTGCTAATAATTCAAATTATATAATGAATCTCAATAGAATATTTATCCACCATATTCATATTGTATTATCGTATAATAGATGTAAACAATTTGAGTATTTTCCTTCTTCTCCATCAACAAATTTTAGGTTACTTCTTCACCAAGATATTTATTCACCATACTCATTTTGTATTATGGTATAATACATTTAAACAATTTCAATATTTTTCTTCTTCTCCATCACCAAATTTAGGTTACTTCATCACCAAGAAACTAAGTTAAAAGACTATTAATTAATGACACATATTTCATATTCAGTGGTTATAATTCAAATTATATAATGAGGCCCGATAGTATATTTATTCACCATATTCATATTGTATTATGGTATAATAGATATTAACAATTTCAATATTTTTCTTGTTTTTCATCACCAAATTTTAGGTTACTTCTTCACCTAGAAACTAAGTTAAAAGACTATTAATTAATGACACATATTTCATATACATTTCTAATAATTCTAATTATGTAATGAGTCTCAATAGTATATTTATTCATCATATTCATATTGTATTATGGTATAATAGATGTAAACAATTTCAATATTTTTCTGTCTTCTCCATCACCAAATTTTAGGTTACTTCATCACTAAGAAACTAAGTAAAAAAACTATTAATTAATGACACATATTCCATATACATTGTAAATAATTCAAATTATATAATGAGTCTCGATAGTATATTTATTCACCATATTCATATTGTATTATGGTATAATAGATGTAAACAATTTCAATATTTTTCTTCTTCTCCATCAACAAATTTTAGGTTACTTCTTCACAAAGAAACTAAGTTAAAAGACTATTAATTAATGACACATATTTCATATACAGTGGTTATAATTCAAATTATATAATGAGGCCCGATAGTATATTTATTCACCATATTCATATTGTATTATGGTATAATAGATGTAAACAATTTTAGTATTTTTTTTTCTTCTTCATCACCAAATTTTAGGTTACTACATCACTAAACAACTAATTTAAAACACTATTAATTAACGACACATATTTCCATATACATTGAAAATAATTCAAATTATATAATGAGTCTCGATAGTATATTTATTCACCATATTCATATTGTATTATGGTATAATAGATGTAAACAATTTCAGTATTTTCTTCTTATCCATCACCAAATTTTAGGTTACTTCATCACCAAGAAACTAAGTTAAAAGACTATTAATTAATGACACATATTCCATATACATTGATAATAATTCAAAATATATAATGAGTATCAATAGTATATTTATATATCATATTCATATTGTATTATGGTATAATAGATGTAACCAATTTCAATATTTTTCTTCTCCATCACCAAATTTTAGGTTACTTCTTCACCAAGAAACTAAGTTGAAAGACTATTAATTAATTACACATATTTCATATACAGTGGTTATAATTCAAATTATATAATGAGGCCCGATAGTATATTTATTCACCATATTCATATTGTATTATGGTATAATAGATGTAAACAATTTCAATATTTTTCTTCTTCTCCTTCACCAAATTTTAGATTACTTCATCACTAAGAAACTAAGTTAAAAGACCATTAATTGATGACACATATTCCATATACATTGGTTATAATTCAAATTATCTAATGAGTCTCGATAGTATATTTATTCACCAAATTCATATTGTATTATGGTATAATAGATGTAAACAATTTCAATATTTTCTTCTTTTCCATCACCAAATTTTAGATTATATCATCACTAAGAAACTAAGTTAAAAGACCATTAATTGATGACACATATTCCATATACATTGGTTATAATTCACATTATATAATGAGGCCAATAGTATATTTATTCACCATACTCATATTGTATTATGGTATAATATATTTAAAAATTTCAATATTTTTCTTCTTCTCCATCACCAAATTTTAGGTTACTTCATCACCAAGAAACTAAGTTAAAAGACTATTAATTAATGACACATATTTCATATACATTGGTAATAATTCAAATTATATAATGAGTCTCGATAGTATATTTATATATCATATTCATATTGTATTAAGGTATAATAGATGTAAACAATTTCAATATTTTTCTTCTACACTCACCAAATTTTAGGTTACTTCTTCACAAAGAAACTAAGTTAAAAGACTATTAATTAATGACACATATTTCATATTCAGTGGTTATAAAATTCAAATTATATAATGAGGCTCGATAGTATAATTTATTCACCATATTCATATTGTATTATGGTATAATAGATGTTAACAATTTAAATATTTTTTCTTGTTTTTCATCACCAAATTTTAGGTTACTTCTTCACCTAGAAACTAAGTTAAAAGACTATTAATTAATGACACATACTTTCATATACATTTCTAATAATTCTAATTATATAATGAGTCTCAATAGTATATTTATTCATCATATTTCATATTGTATTATGGTATAATAGATGTAAACAATTTCAATATTTTTCTTCTTCTCCATCACCAAATTTTAGGTTACTTCATCACTAAGAAACTAAGTAAAAAAACTATTAATTAATGACACATATTCCATATACATTGGAAATAATTCAAATTATATAATGAGTCTCGATAGTATATTTATTCACCATATTCATATTGTATTATGGTATAATAGATGTAAACAATTTCAATATTTTTCTTCTTCTCCATCAACAAATTTTAGGTTACTTCTTCACAAAGAAACTAAGTTAAAAGACTATTAATTAATGACACATATTTCATATACAGTGGTTATAATTCAAATTATATAATGAGGCCCGATAGTATATTTATTCACCATATTCATATTGTATTATGGTATAATAGATGTAAACAATTTTAGTATTTTTTTTTCTTCTTCATCACCAAATTTTAGCGTTACTACATCACTAAGAAACTAATTTAAAACACTATTAATTACCGACACATATTCCATATACATTGAAAATAATTCAAATTATATAATGAGTCTCGATAGTATATTTATTCACCATATTCATATTGTATTATGGTATAATAGATGTAAACAATTTCAGTATTTTCTTCTTATCCATCACCAAATTTTAGGTTACTTTCATCACCAAGAAACTAAGTTAAAAGACTATTAATTAATGACACATATTCCATATACATTGATAATAATTCAAAATATATAATGAGTATCAATAGTATATTTATATATCATATTCATATTGTATTATGGTATAATAGATGTAACCAATTTCAATATTTTTCTTCTCCATCACCAAATTTTATGTTACTTCTTCACCAAGAAACTAAGTTGAAAGACTATTAATTAATTACACATATTTCATATACAGTGGTTATAATTCAAATTATATAATGAGGCCCCGATAGTATATTTACTTCACCATATTCATATTGTATTATGGTATAATAGATGTAAACAATTTCAATATTTTTCTTCTTCTCCTTCACCAAATTTTAGATTACTTCATCACTAAGAAACTAAGTTAAAAGACCATTAATTGATGACACATATTCCATATACATTGGTTATAATTCAAATTATCTAATGAGTCTCGATAGTATATTTATTCACCAAATTCATATTGTATTATGGTATAATAGATGTAAACAATTTCAATAGTTTTCTTCTTTTCCATCACCAAATTTTAGATTATATCATCACTAAGAAACTAAGTTAAAAGACCATTAATTGATGACACATATTCCATATACATTGGTTATAATTCACATTATATAATGAGGCCCAATAGTATATTTATTCACCATACTCATATTGTATTATGGTATAATATATTTAA